ATATATATATATATATATATATATATATATATATTATAACCACAACGCTAGGCCAAGGTTAAAATAGAAGAACAATTGGAGGTATTTTTATTGAAGTTGCTAGGTTAATGAAGGAGAAAATGTGAATGCATTCTTTACATACAAGTTGTTAGGAGAAACAGTAGATAAATATTATTTATGTAGATCACATGCTAAGATAACGTTAAAAAACAGTGTTTGCTTTTATTATGTAGAAATTTCTATGGTAATGCTAGGGAAAAATATGTAATATATGTACCCACTGGAAGTTGTTTATGTTACGGTAAGAGAAACATTTGAGTTCGTGGATTATAAACAAACTGCCATGGGGAACACAGTGGGTACATATATTCAACACAACTTCTGGTTCCAGTGCCATTTAGATATTACTTAAGATTGAGTTTCATGATACAATACATGTACTTTTGTTAAATATATCATCAAACTTTGGTTATATAAATGTTGGAGGTATCCCACACTCTACGAAACTTAAAATTCAAAAACAGCTAAAAATAAGATACAATTGTGCTGAGTACCTGATGATGCCGCGTTAACAGTGGAGAAACATTGGTTTTAAATGATAATTTTCTTCTATCCTATTTTAGCTGTTTTTGAATTTTAATCTTTGATTATATTTATCTTATCGATCAAAACAATTCCCATATGCGTTTATTGATAGACATTTAAAATCGTGAAATCAGATGTTAAACATTTCCGCTTTACTCCTTTTATTTGTATATAATGAAAACACTCCGCAGTGCAATTAGTATAATCCGAGATGTGTTACTAATCTTCTAAAATTCATCCTGTAAACTTGTATAAAATTATTATCACAATCAAGATGTCTTACGATGTGTTTTTGGCTTACATAATTAACTTCTAGAAGAAAAGAAATAATGAGGTTCATATTAAACTAAGCCCGCACGGCCAGGTGGTTAGAGCGCTCGAATCGCAGTCTGAGGGTTGCGGGTTTGAATCCCCGTCCCACGCCCTTTCAGCCGTGGGGGCGTTTATAATGTGACGGTCAATCCCACTATTCGTTGGTAAAAGAGTAGCCCAAGAGTTGGCGGTGGGTGGTGATGACTAGCTGCCTTCCCTCTAGCCTTGCACTGCTAAATTAGGGACATCTAACGCAGATAGCCCTCGTGTAGCTTTGCGCGAAATTCAGAACAAGCAAGCATATTAAACTCTTCGTTTTATCATCAAGCAACGTAAAGTACAGTTTGAGTATTACCACAGGTTTTAGAGATTTTTTTTCCAAACTACAAATGACTATCCATTTTTAAATATATATAAACTAACGTTCGAGTAACGTATTCGGGGACATAGACGCAAAATGTTTCAAAAAATAAGCTTTTACACCACCGTACGTGAAATAGAGATCGCAAATATTTTCTTCCATTCTGTCGCAGTTTAAAAGTACAGTCTTATTTATTATTGCGGAAATATTGATTTATTCGTTTGTTTTTGTTAATATTGATGTAAATATAAATAATCATTGTCGTCAATGGCAGTGCGATCTTATATGTGATTTTATTTTTAACAATCTATATAGATATTTCATTAGGCTTTGAATCGAACAGACAAAATACCTCGAATCAATCGTCGAACGCATGTAGTAGTCGCATCCGCATAAAGAGGAAAAATCTGGCCAATCGCAGACATTTCTCACATCGAATGAGAAGACACCGCGCCGTCGTTAAGGGTGCATAGCGAGTCCTAGTTAAAAGGGGACGTCCTCAACCTGGAGAATAGTATATTAATTTCGCCTGGGGCACTGGAGCCTTGAATAGTGAAAAACAGTTTAACATTACGAATTTAGAATTATGACTTCACACTCACTTAACTCTGATGGTTCAGGCCGAGATCGCCTATCTATGTCATCATACAGTACCTCCCCTTACTCAAGCGAACATGGAACAAAGCGATCGTTGATCTTCGAGAACATACTATTGAACCGCCGACCGTGTATGTCTGACGATCTCACCTCGACTGGCATGTCCAGGGAATCCTCTCTAGAGGATAGATTGATTGGGATGGAGGAAGAGATATCTGGCCAAGATATGTCAAATGACCCTCCAGTTCTGGTTGACGATAAAAGAGTGTCTGAGATGCTGTCCAGAAAAAACTGGACGTTTTCTCCAGATCAGGTGGCTTGTGTATGTGAAACCCTTCAACAGGCCGGAGACAACGATCGTTTGGCCCGTTTCCTGTGGTCACTTCCATCCATTGAGCAATTACGCTGCAAAGAGTCAGTCCTCCGAGCTCGAGCGACCGTGGCTTTTCACCAAGGTAACTACAAAGAGCTTTATGCGATTCTTGAGAGCCACAACTTTGAATATTTTCATCACTTAGAGCTCCAACAGATGTGGTATAAAGCCCATTACAGAGAGGCTGAGAAGATCCGCGGCAGACCGCTGGGGGCAGTGGACAAGTATCGCCTACGACGAAAGTATCCATTACCGAAGACAATTTGGGACGGCGAAGAGACAGTCTACTGCTTTAAAGAAAAGTCCCGTATGATGCTGAAGGAATGTTACCTTCAGAATCGATACCCAACTCCTGACGAAAAGCGACTGTTGGCAAAAAAAACCGGACTGACCTTAACCCAAGTTAGCAACTGGTTCAAAAACAGAAGACAGAGGGACAGGACACATACTAGTATGAGTAAGTAGAATTTGTCTGCTGCTTTAAATATTAAACTGACGTTTTTCATCTCATTCACTACTTCAAATAAATGATTTAGGTGTAAAATTATTACACTCATGAATGGGTAGAAGAAATTAGAATAATATTGTAATATTGTATAGAACTATTTGTATAACTCCAAATCAAGCATTTAATGGGTGCAATTCAACGTCAAGAAAAATTATACCTTCATACAGTACCAGTAACTGAATCTATATAAATTCATGGTTGTATACTTTATCATTTCATCATACCAGAAACATGAGACTTTTCAAGTTCAAAAATAGAAATAAAAAATCCGACGTAGCTAAGTGAAAGGTAAAGAGCTGGTATGAGTATGTTTTCATCTTTACAGGCTGAAGTACGAATATTAAGAAGCAAAATTAATGTGTTATTAAGAAACTAATAGGGTGTCTGAGTGTTGTCCAGGATTCAAGCAAATTTTAAACATTAAAAACTGAATGGTGTAAATAAGAAAGTGTATGCATGTTATTCAAAAAACGTAAAAGTCATATACTGGTGTTCTTAAAATGACAATCCGATATATGAGTGGATTGCGTGTGCGAATGAGAAATCAGAAGAGTGTACTATTAATGCTAACAAGAAACAAAACGGATTTTTGAACGTTGTTGTTCATATAAAGAGTTTATCACGACTGTATATATTACGATGCTCCTACACTTTTTCCATCATGGCAAGTGAACGCGAAACATGTCGCATACAAAACACGTGTGTAAACTTCCTGTAACATCGATAAAAGGATTAAACTGTAAATAAACACCAGTTGTACATCACTGTAGTATTTGAACTTAAAGTTGTAATTAGGAATTTAAAATACTATATTTATGACCATAATGAAAATATATCAAGATGTTTGTATTTCAACAATTTTATTGTTGTACTTGAGGTTATATGAAGTTGAATATATATTATTTATACAGCTGAATAACAGTTCAAAATGATTCCAAAACAGTGATTTGATTTAGAAATGTATATTAACATGTATTAATTTAAGCCCGAATCCATACAAAACAACATGGCAGGACGAATAAGGAAAACATGTGTTGTTTTGTATGGATTCGTGCTAATCAAAAGTAAAAAACTGAGAAATACGTGTTTTGACATGTTGTTTTGTATGGATTCGTGCTAATCAAAAGTAAAAAACTGAGAAATACGTGTTTTGACGTGTTGTTTTGTATGGATTCGTGCTAATCAAAAGTAAAAAACTGAGAAATACGTGTTTTGACGTCAAAACACGTATTTGTCAGTTTTTTACTTTTGATTAGCACGAAGCTCACATGTATATAATATAGAAATTAATATATATATATATTTAAGTTTTGAAAATCAACAAAATACGATTAAAGAGAATATTTATTTTGTAATTCCTAGTTTGTTATTTAGGTTACCATGAAGAGTAAATATTTTTCGTTTCTTTGTTGCTAAGCACAAAGCTACACAATGAGCTGTCTGTGCTGTGCCAACCACGAGTATTGAAATCCGGTTTTTAGCAGTGTAAGCTAAGAGTAAATAAATAATGTAAACACCAGAATGGTTTTATATTTTTGAAGACCAATAAAATACATCTATTAATGTAGTTTCTCAATGTCTTTCTGAATACTGATCTCAGATCTATTACACAATTGTGTCCAAGTAAAACTACATTTTTCACTTATGTTAATATACCGCGAGTTTCTAAACAAAAGCTATAATGTTTTACAAAAGGTTTTCAACAATGCATAGGAATTTTTCAGATCTCATTTTCTCCACAAACTTAAGTTTTCAGTAAAACTGATCATAACTTTCCATCTCGCTAGAAACAAAAAACCGTTTTCATGCACAGAGATGTAAATACCAGCTTGTAAATGTAATGTAAATGTAAATGTAAAAATGTAAAATAATACAAATTTCACATTACACCCTAATTATTGAATCCATACAAAATAAAATGAATGATAGTCCACGTGGCAGGACCAATTAGGAAACCACGTGAAAAGATAATAACAGCACGTATTTCTCAGGTTGTTATTTTATATTATCATGAAGCTCACATATATATATAAAATAAAACTATAATATATTTAAAATTTGAAAATCAAAAAGTACAAGAAGTATTTAGAAGTGAAAACCTACACTTTATTTTTACTGATTCTGATCGGGGGAATTGTGAGGATATGTACAGAGTAAAGCTAAATACCTGACATGGAAAATGTTTGAATACACGAGAAAGAGCAGTCTAAACTAAAGAATGAGGTATTTCTGTTTAAACATTTAATGAATTATTGAGTTCTTAGTTAAGTAAGCTAAACATTACCTAGATACCTTAAGTGTTCAATTTCTAACAGTGTAAACAAAGTTTCTTGGCCCAGGTGGTTAGGGCACTCGACTCGCAATCTGTGGGTCGCGGGTTCGAATCTCCGTCACACCAATCATGCCCGCCCTTTAGCCACGGGGGCGTTATAATGTGACGGTCAATCCCACTATTCGTTGCTAAAAGAGTAGCCCAAGAGTTGGCGGTGGGTGGTGATGACTAGCTGCCTTTTCTCTAGTCTTACACTGCTAAATTAGGGACGGCGAAATTCAAAAAACAAAAAACAAAGTTTCTATGGTGTGATGTATTATTATGTTTAGAGCGTATTTATATAGAATTTTTCAAATGATTTTGTAAACTAGTGAAAGTTCTACGTTCTATATATATATTATTTATTATCTAAAATTTTCATCTTTCGCAAAAATGGTTCTGGAATATTTCTTAGATTAAATTTACCTTGGGCAAATAACCTTAATTATCACCATTCTTAGTTGTTTTTTTATTTAGACTACTAGATTCAGATTTTTATGACACCTGGCTTGACTTACACAGCTGGATTCTTCGTGGCACCGTCTTACAAAGCTCTTTTCCTTTGATTTTTGTAATTAACATAATATGATGTAAAAATTATTGCAGGCTTTCACTATTTGCTTTTTTTTCGTGGCCCGACATGGCCAGGTGGTTAGGGCGCTTGACTCGCAAGCTGAGGGTCTCGGGTTCAAATCCCGTTATCGAACATTTTCGCTCTTTCAGCCGTGGGCGCGTTATAATGTAACGGTCAATCCTATTATTCGTTGGTAAAAGAGTAGCCAAAGAGTTGGCGGTGATGATTAGTTGCCTTCCCTCTAGTCTTACACTGCTAACGGCTAGCGCAGATAGCCCTCGTGTAGCTTTGCGAGAAATTCAAACAAACTTTTCATCAGTTTTTTTTTTTCTCTCTTTTATAAAGTTCAGCAATCTCTTTTAGAAATAATATCAATAAATTTGCTTAAACAAAATAATCTGACTTGAAAACTTCTATTAACTTATGATCTATGATTTGGTGTTTTTAATATTTTTACAATATAAATACTTTAAATGTTGACTTCTTTATTTAAAATAACGGATAATCCAGTTACACTCAGATGTATATTCTTTCATAATGAAAAAAGCCTATTCATTTTCTTTCTCTAGTATGATCCGCGTCACTTCCTATGTGACAGTGTTTCAACGTTTTATTGCCCTTTTTAAGCGCTACACATACCAAAATTACTGCGTTTGACTGTAATGAATACAGCAATACGTTACTGTGCTTTACGGCTTCCTGCGTTTGAGGGTTTGCTGAGATATTACAGGCCTCTCTAAGAAACTGGGCAGGAGTTGCACAACACACAATAACTACTGGATATGTAGAAGAAATGCCTATTATAGACTAAGTCATTACTTAGTAATACATAAATACGAACCAAGCCACCTCCTTACTAGCACCATTGGAATAATAATTCATAAAATGATAAAAAGGTGAATTTCTAGTGCTCTATGTTCATTCATTGATTAACTTATTAAACGTATTTGGAAATAAAAATGTAATTTTCATTCCAAATAGCATTTCAAATTCATTACTGTGTATTACCATTAGAAACCTTAAATTGGTTTATTCGTACGTATAATACGTACTACACGATTTATTACTGAAAGGTGTATTATTTATTGTTTATTTGTTTGATCCCCTGAATGATATTGTTTTCTCCAGTTTTTCCTTCAGAGCTTTTAAATCAGTTCAGAATACATATTTAAAAAGAAAGGAAAATAAAAAAACATTAATATTTTCATAGATCATCAAGGCCGATCACCAACATTAGAAAACTTATCGTGAATTCCTAATCGGATATATAAATGTGTTATCGTATAAGCATTTTATTTTAGTTCTTATTTCACCGCTACGTCGTACAGTAATAATAATAATAATAGCGACTTTGTTTACCGTTGGTATTAAAACAAATTCTAATTATTATTTTTTAAACTGGTAAAATTCGGATACAAATGGTGGTATACCATGTGTTGGACTAGAATCGAGGTCAAGTTATATGTTAATATATCATTCTAGAGCTATAAAATCTAATTAGAGTTATATTATTAGTGATTTTTAAGTTACAATAAGTTTTAATTACTTTACCATGTGTGTATATTCCGGGTGTAGTCTAATGATTAGCTGTAGGTCTGTTATAAAAGTGCGGGTATTACTGATTGCTTGTCTTCGCCCAGTATAAAATTAGTCTCTGAATTGACCGTTTAATCCATGTGGACGTATGGTTCTGAGTAGGTTGAGAATACCATATATATTTTGTGGAACCAGTTAGTGTTTCGTGAGTTGGTTCGTTGTGACACGTCGTAATATGTACTTGTTATTTGGTCATCGGTCCGTCTACTTGTCAACATAATTGAGTCAGTATTTATGAGACGCAAATGGCTCGTTGCTCGTTCATCTGGTTAGTCGTCCGTAAATTTTTTAACTGATAGAATACAGGGAAGAAAGCTAGTGAAGAATATCCACGACCAATTCTTGGCCTAATCTTGTCTGACCAAATAGTGGGATTTGAACTTCATCCTTGAAACGTATCCACGGTCAAACATGCGAAGTGGTATTTTGGTGTGTGTGTGTGGTAACGGGACCTGAATATGGGAGCCG